TTGACCTTTGTATGACCTACAAAATAATTTGTACTATCTCTGATACAAAATGGTATACATTATCTTTATTTTTTCACTTTGCAAATATCCGTTTTCACTGCAAAAGGCGCCACAAATGATGCACCAGCCATTCAGCCTATTGGCTCAGTTTATCCACGTGTGTGGGCTTTCAGCTTCACGCGGCTGTAGCTCCTCCTATTGAATAACGTGGTTCAATTCAGTTTATTTCTATAGCGCCAATTCACAACACCAGTCATCTTAAGGCACTTTACAGTTTAACCAGATCATCCAGTCAGATTTATTTAAAGTTTTCTAGCTAAGGAAAAACGAGTTGATTGCATCGACTCATTGACTCAAATACAATCCCTCACACTAAGCATGCTTGTAGCGACAGTGGAGAGGAAAAACTCCCTTTTAACAGGAAGAAACCTCCAGCAGAACCAGGCTCAGTGTGAGCGGCCATCTGCTGAGGCCGACTGGGGTTCAAGGAGACAGAAGCAGAGACACAAAAAGCAGCTGTAAAAGGCGGCCCCGCCCAGGAAACACACAGCCAGGCAGACGAGCTCCGAGCTTCAGGGTGTAAACTCTGGGCGCCTGGCATGCAGAGCAGCTAACTCCCTGCAGGGCTCGCAGAAATCGCCAAGGACACCCAGTCTGATGGCAGCTTTTCAGATACCCACAGGCGGCCAATGATGGCTTCCTCTATCCAACCTCTGCTGTTTCAACTAATGGGATGTGTGCAGCTGTAAGCCTCTGACAATTGATGGATAGCTACCGTAAATTCCGGACTATAGAGCGCACCTGATTACAAGCCGCACGCTCTAATTTTAGAAAGAAAATCAATTTTGTACTTTTACAAGCCGCACCGGATTTTAAGCCGCAGGTTTCCCACGTTGTATGAGATATTTACAGATAAACATATTACACATGAGCATTTTTTTAATGTTTGATTTAATCCGTATGATAAAACAAACAAATACGGTACATATTATGAATGCTGTTTTTTTTTTTTTTTTTTTTTTTCAAACTACCTGTAACACTTTTAAATATACGCATGTGTCGGTAATACGCAGATAACGCTGCATATACCGGTACGTTTAATTGAACAACGCACAGAACATTGCAGCCGACCAGGAAAAGTAATTTATCACTTTCTTCTTCCTCCTGCGACCTAAAACCCTCAAAGTCCTCTTCCTCGGTGTCTGAATGGAACAGCTTCAGGATGCTGTCGCTGACTTCAGTCTCATCCTTGTCGCTCTCGCTGTCCTCTTCATCCCGCAGCAGCCCAGCCTTCCGAAACCTGCCGGTGATGCTGGATGTTTTCACACGGCTCCACGCATTGAAAACCCAATCTCCTCTGTGAATACTCATCAATTTTATTGGTCGGTTTTTCGCGCCATGAAAAAAAACATGTATTAGCCGCGCCGTATTATAGTCTGCAGTGTTCAAACAGCGGGACAAAAGTAACGGCTTATAGTCCGGAATTTACGGTAAATTTGTAAATTATTAAAATCATCAGTAACTTTTGATTTTTGTTAAAAACATCACTAGACAATTTTAAAACCTTGCCACATGAACCAGGTGATGACTAAAAAAACATTGTCTAGTGTTTTTTTTTTGCAATTTTATTCAAACACTGAATCGTTGCAGGTTTTTGCTAAGGGTTTCTTTGTTTTGTTTTTTTCCTTTTTATGGTTGCAGGTTGAGAAACATTTTAGAGACGTGGAAAGTCAGAAGTCCATGCAACGTTCACAAGCACAGCAAACACAGAAGGACTCCACTTTATCTTCTTGAGTTGGCAGTGCGGAGCGGCCGGGGGGAAGGCGACGCGGGTGGTTCTGTTCCCACTGCCAGACAAAGTCGGCATTCCTTGTCCTCAGTCCGAGACCACAAGGAGGAGCGCTGAGGGCCTTGGATCCTGAAGATCAAAATACCATTAAATGAAAAAGACAAAAAAAGAGAGAGAAGAAAGATAAAATCTTAAATTAGACTTTATAAAGAATAATTTAAACATGATCCATAAAGCGTACCATAGTTTCCTTAACTAACTTGTCTCATCCTGCCCCCCCTCCCTTCTACCCCTCCCACCCCTTCCTGTCCCTGAAACCTCTTTTCTTTTTCCACTCTCCCCCTTTTGTCTTCAGTTCCATTACAAAAAGAGAAAACTAGAGCAGTCAGAAAGGCTTGTTAGCTTTATTTCCTGTCATTTTCTTCCTTTTTTTTTTTTTTTTCTGTATCCATGTTCTACTGTCTGTATTTTCTGTATTTTAAAACAAAATGTGACTTGAAACGCCACACTTTAAAGGACATTTTCTAAAATAAAAGTAACAAAAATTCTGACTGTAATGTACTTTTCCACAACTTCTTCAGTGGTGGGTAACATATGTTTGATGTGAATCTGTTCGGGTAATTAGAACATCCGTGGGGTCCAGAAGTAAAATAAGGCTGGAGAGATATTTAGTTCTCTCCCTTTCTCACGGTTACAAACTGGAAAAACAATCTAGAAATAAGCAACAATTTCTTAAACTAAGTGTATTTATCCTTAATTTGAGTAGGTATATGAAATAGTTTGGCAATGGAATGAGTATTTCTATTAAAATAAGATAATTAGATATAATGCACTTGAAATAAGACCATGAAATTGAGTTTTCTTATTTTAAATGTAAATTGTCTTGTTCCATTGGCAAAATATCTTTTACCTCCTCAATCTAATAACAAATGCACTTATTTTAAGAAAAAATTACCTTTTACACTGCACGCATGGCTGCTGATTTAATAGATAGATCTGCAGTGAAAAGAACTGATTTAAATAACATTCGTATGTTTTTGTTGCCTGGTCATGACAGGAATTGCCCGTCATTCCATCTAGTAAATGGAAAGTTCTGTCAAATTTAATCAGAGGAGTTTGATTTAAATGACAGTTTGTAAAATTACAGAATACATCTTGACATTTCGGAATATACTTTAATGTTTCTGCTTCTTTTTACTTTGGTCCTCTTTAATTAATGAGGAAATACTATTAACCATCAGCTGGTCAAAGGCTGCTAATAATGAGTGCCATGACTAGCTTTTAATGGAAAGTTAAGTGGAAGGAAAAAAAGGAACATTAACTGCTTTGGATTTTTCTGCAACACTATTTAAGAGTTTGTGAGAGGAAAGTATTGATGTCCAAGGCTACAGTAGACCCCTTCTACACGCACAGGGATCCAGGATATATCGGCTGTAAATACATTACTGGATTTCACCAACATGTCTATTTAGAATTTGTTACAGATGAAAGAGAATTTTGCATTAAATGTGTATGCTGGTGGTGCAGTGGTTAGCGTGCACTACCCATGTGTCCTCAACGCAACCGACCAGGGTTCAAAGCCGACCTGAGATCTTTTGCCGCATGTCTCTCCCTCTCATACCCCTTTTCCTGTCGGCCTACTGTCGAAAAAATTAGCCTCTAGTGCCATAAAAACTAAAAAGAATTTAGCATTTCATTAGGAAATCAAGTTTCCAAAACCTGTTGCGCGCGTTTGTGATGATTTGTGGAGTCCTGCAATCAGTTGATGTTGGCTCACTGTGTTCGATTCAGTGTTAGAACAGCTATTCTAAAAGTAACTATAATGAGGAAACATCTCAACCGTTAAGCCAGGCCAAAAATTCTCCCCTAACGACTCCTCTTTCAGATGCATAGACCAGTATCTGGTATTGCAACAATGGCTCCCCATCCCTAAGGGGCGGACCTGTTCTTTGGGTTCAACTTGCATGTTTTTTAAGCCAAAACAAGGTGTTAGTGGTCCACTCTTTAAAGCCTTGAACTCAACACTATTTGTGAGATTTTTTCCTTTAAAAATCTTCCAGGATGGGAAGCAAAACATCTTCAAACTTATAAAAATTATCCAGGAGATTTTTTTTTTTTTTTTTTTTTTACTTTTTTGAAATATGACGAATATTTTACAGTTTTTAAATGTCCAGCCTACCTGTAGGACTGATGTAGAGTACCGTCAAGAAGAAGCTGCAAAATAGAGATTTTGCTCCGTTTTTCGACCTTTGAAAGCTCAGAATTCAGCCTGCTTTGTGATTTCCATGACCTTGATGAATTTATACAGGAATGCCAAGAAGATAAGGAAACATCAGACAAATTTAAGGCTGCTTTTAAAATCCAGGCTTCCTAATATGCATATTCTTGTAATAAGCAATTACCTTCCACTGCACTTTAATTTAGATAGCTTCTGTCCAATCTTTATTTATTTTATAGTAAAACCCATCCGTATATATATGCTATTGTACATAACTGTAAAACCCCTTTTTATAGTAATATCCACCTGGTAAATATCCAGCTGTAAATTTAGTTCATAACACTAGTGATTTATATATTATATTCATTATTTATAATAGTGTTCATCTCTATACTTATTCAGTAGAACCCATGTCCTGTATTTATAGAACCATTATTCATCCTGCACATGCTGCTATTGCACTTCTGGTTAGACCTTAACTGCATTTTGTTGCCTTTTACCTGTACATGTGAAATGACAAATTTGAATCTAATCTAATCCTTAAGTCAGCAGAGCATCAGGCTGACCTCTATTGCAGCCCTGATCAAATAAAGAATGCATATATTGTTTAGTATATACAAATACTTTTCAGTAAAAACAAACTTTCAGATTAAAAATGTTGTTTCTGCATATTATGTAAGGCCCTATTGTGGGATTTCAGCTTCTCTTAAGTTGTAAGCCATAATCATCAGGGACATGATTTATTCAGAATTTTAAAAAGATGCTCAGATTCAGTCCAGTCTGCCATCAAAGACTGATCTATAGATAATCCATAGTGTTATATAATAAAGAACCAAATGGATAAACCGGCTGCTATCATGCTTGATATATGCATATAGATGTAAATCCTTCATTTAGGAAAAGGTCCAAAACAGGCTGCAGGTTCACTCCCCAGATTTGGTTATGTGATCATCAGTTTAAGCCCATAATCCCATCTAATCGGGAATATTCCATGTGTGTGTCTCTGAGTTTGCTGAAATGACATGTTTCTGTGCCTTTGCAAACACATCCGCTGCGCTTCAGATGCATCGCTCTGTGTACGTACAAGAGGGTCAACCATGGCTTTTAGCTGGAGAGTCTTCGCTTTGATCCCACAATGATGATTCCTCTACTTCTGCTGACGCTGCTTCCCAGCATCATGTCGGGCCTCAGGCTGTGTCCCAGCCCCTGCCTTTGCTACGAGTCCTCTGACTTGGTGGATTGCAGGTCTAAAGGATTGGAACAGGTCCCCCCCAATGTTCCCCATGGCACTTGGCTGCTGGATCTTAGTGGGAACAAGGTGAGAGAGGTGTGGAGTGATTCGTTTGTTGGACTGTGGTCACTAAAGTTCCTTCTGATGTCCAACAACAGCATGCATGCTCTGCATTCTCAGGTATGGAAGATATTATTTATGGGGTTGATTCTGCATGTGAGATATTGAAATTAGAGTATAAATATGCAGGTCTTCAGATTATACGGATGTTATAGGATGCAGATGGTTTTAGATCAAGATAAAACTGCAATAAATCTGCTCTTTATTTAGATTTCTTTATTGTAAAATTATCAGCAGCCCTTTAAATACTCCACATGTAGACTTCCACGAAAAAATATGAGTGTTATGATGTTTAATTCCAAAATCTGAAAAGTGTGGCATACATTTGAATTAGATCTGGGCCTGACTGGGCCACTCCTATTTTTTATTTTTTTTTTATAGCGATGGAAACACTTCCTTTCACATATAAGTTTCGCCGGTTTGCTGCAGCTTCGTCACGCTGACAGAAAATCAAAGGTTGAGAAAAATAAATATTACGTCATTGTTTCATAAAAAGAAGGTCCTCTTTGAAATGGTTTTATTTCACTGTTTACTTTTATTTTAAAGAAAGACAGAAATGTTTAATGTTATGTTAACCTGCGCCACAGAGCTACAGCCATGCACATTGGGCGGTGCTGTGTTGACATAGTAACAAATGCTTTCCTTTTTAGTTGGAGGGAAGAGGCCGTCCCATTCCCATTATATAACCAACTTCCACAGCTTTGTGTGACTTAATTTGGAGTGACACTGGATAGTTAAGGGTTAGTGTTAAAGTCGTAGGGAAGCAGCTGTTCCAACCGTTGCATTTCCGAATTCTCCGGAATTCGCAGAAACATGCAAGAGGAGGAGAGTTTAGTGTCGGAGGTCGTGGATGAGTCTCCTCCGTCATCCATTTTTTATTTAGAGGAGGAAAGCGGGGACGAAGATGTTGTGGAAGAGGACGCCAGGGCGGCAGAAGCTTGGTTTGGTGTAGAAGGCTTCCAGCCGTACATGTTTGAGCCCTTGCCTCGCAACGCTGCCAGTTCTGTTAGCTCTACGCCTGCCGAAGACACAGACGTCCATCCCCGTGAACACTGGGACGGAACTCAATGGGAAAGGAAATTATTCTATGATTTCTTATTTCAACCGTTGCGTATATTAGCTGCGACATATGAATCAAGATGCTATGACGAAAAAAATTTGATTGACAGATAACCGTTGATATGATTGGCCGAATTTAGGTGAACAAGCTGACGTAGAACTAACTGGCCTGCATAAAATAACAACAAAAAAAACACAGACAGGATTTTTTTTTTTATATATATAATTTTTCAAACATTTAGGACAATATGTTCTGATAAAGAGTACATTTATATTAGGGATGCACGATATTTGGATTTTGGCCGATATCCGATATGTCGATATTTTAAAACTCATGTAGCCGATAACCGATATCGATACCGATGTTAAAGCTGGACAAAAATAAGTAGTCATTGAAAATAGCAGTTTTGTTATCCATTTCTGACACTTTGAAAAATAATATACTCAAATATATTTTCATATTCTGATATCAAACAGATTTTTAAAAACGTGGTATTGATCTATTTTACTTTCAGAATCTCGTGAAATGTCATCGTTCTGTTACAAACTCTTGTGATATTTGGAAATTCTTGTGAGATTTTGTTAGTAAAATAGATCGATACCGCGTCAATATATCAACTTATAAAAATATGGCAAAATTCCGTGAATTTTCGGGGGATTTCGTAGCATAACGATGACATATAGCAATATTTCATTAGTAAAAGAGATTGATATGGTGTTTTTAAATGGCAATATATCAGCATATGAAGATATTGTGATATTTTAATGTATCAATATTTTTTCCCTCGTCTTTAGAAGTTTTTAAGTCTGTAAAAAAAAGTTTTTGAAGAAGAAGAAGTTGTATTTTTTAGACTTTAGAAACTCAGAAGCTGATCAAATATCAGGTTAAATATCGGTGGGGTGGCCGATGTTCGATATTCAGTTTTAAGGCCGATACCGATAGGGGGCCGATTATATCGTGCATCCCTAATTTATATACATGTTTAAGCCAGATTAATTTGAAATCTAAATATGATTTCCCTACGACTTTAACCTTTGGGCGGTACTGTGTTGCCATAGTAACAGCTGCTTTCCTTTTCAGTTGGAGGGAAGAGGCCGTCCCATCCTCGTTTATACCCACACATATGGATTAATAATTTATAAAAAAAAAAACAATTAAACTCCAATTTAGCTATATTTCAGTTAAAAACTAAACATTAATTTATGTAAAGAGGAAGAAAGGAAAATGGTTGAAAACCATAATCAATAAAATGATGCAATGATCTGGCAGTGATTTTATGTTTGAGTACCAAATTTATCTTGAATAGTTTGGAATTAGGTTAAGTTTTCAACTAATGTAGAACAATTCAGATAATTTATTCTTAACTTTCTGTGACTACTCCTGAGGGAATAGTTTGTACGTTTTTCCTGGCTTCTTTAAGTTTGGCTTAGAGTGAAATAAAATCCACTCAAGACATGTCAGTGCTGGGCACCATGTGGTCACCATGAGCTTCTTTTTAGCTCGCTTTACACAACAGTTAACATTTGACTATATTTTTATCTTTAGAACAATTCTTATAATTTCAGCATTTTGAACTTAAAAAAAAAAAAACTATTCAAGGAAAAATGCCCCATCATGTTTTAGAACAGAATAGAATAGAAAATCCCCTTTATTGTCCCACAATGGGGAAATTCTGGTGTTTACAGCAGCAAAAATATTATAGGAAAAAATGGTCACACAAACATTGAGCTTAGAAAAGTGTATAAGAATCACAATATAGTGAAGAGTTAATAGATACTGTACTATAAATATAAAAAAAATGGTGCGCATGGAGAATAAATAATCAACATACAGCTATGGACATTTTTACAGCAATGGATATTTGAAAATAGCAGCAACATCAGAGATGTGCAAAATGACTGCAGCATGTTATCAAACTAACTGATTGATTGTGCAGCTTTTTCCTTCCACTCAACTTTCCTTTAATATGTTCAGACATGGTCAGCCCAATGCATAATGGAAAGAAGGAGACCCAAAAAAACAATTGATTGTTTTTTGTCCGATAAGGTTTATTTGAAAAAAACAAAAAAAACAATTCCAAAATATATCCTTTAAATTTTTCTCATCAATAGATCTAAGTTATGTAGAAATTATTATAACTATACATTAAAAATAATAAATGATTGATCTTAGGACCAAATCGACACAAAGCAGTTCTAACTTCACTAAAAGAGAATTATCTTTGAAAACAATCTGATGGTGATGAGAGTAACTGGCTTCAGAGATGGAAAACCTTCCACACATCCCAAAGCACAGATGACCTGGTTTCCTCCTTTCCTCTGTCAAAAGGAGAACTGAGTCACGCTCCACTCTTTTGGTAGCTCTGAAGACGGCCTGCATTCTCCCTCTGACTGTTGCATCTGCAGAGTGGAGCTCCAGGGTAGAAGAATGATGGGGTGGGCTGGCAGTGATTAGTTTTAACAAATTCGGTTGTCAGATCTCCTACAGCGATGTCATCAGTCACTTTCCAAATAGACGGAGGGAGTGGAGGACTGAGGAAGAACTGTGAAACATAGAAAAGTCAAATCTGTGAATAAAGGTGGATCATCTTTTCATTTACAGCTTCTGAACAATTCAATTCAATTCAGTTTATTTATATAGCGCCAAATTCACAACACATGTCATCTCAAGGCACTTTACAGTTCAACCAGATCATACAGTCAAATTGATACAAAGTTTTCTATCTAAGGAAAACCAGTTGATTGCATTGACTCATTGACTCAAATACAATCCCCCACACTAAGCATGCTTGTAGCGACAGTGGAGAGGAAAAACTCCCTTTTAACAGGAAGAAACCTCCAGCAGAACCAGGCTCAGTGTGAGCGGCCATTTGCCGAGGCCGACTGGGGTTCAAGGAGACAGAAGCAGAGATACAAAAAGCAGCTGTAAAAGGCGGCCCCGTCCAGGAAACACACAGCCAGGCAGACGAGCTCCAAGGCAGCTCCCATGCCAGAGGACGAAGAGAGCACATCCACTCAGTCACGGTCAGAGAAACAGGACCACACTGGAAAACAGGCCGATCTCCAACATCTATTAACAAGGGTGTTGATAGAAGCAGCACAGCTGATGTTTTTTTCCAGGATGACGTCACAGCCAAACAGGAACAGACGAGGCAAAGCTACTCTGAGGAAAAGCAGAGAGAGCAGAAGGTTAGAGATTGAACTAACAGATTCTGCAGAATAGGAGAACAGAGAGAGAATGAAGCAGAATGATGAAATGGGGGTCCCTATGTCCTCCAAAAGTCTAAGCCTATAGCAGCATAACTATAGAGATAGCTCAGGATAACCTGAGCCACCCTAACTATAAGCTTTATCAAAAATGAAAGTTTTAAGCCTAGCCTTAAAAGTAGACAGGGTGTCTGCCTCACGGACTAAAACTGGTAGTTGGTTCCACAGGAGAGGAGCCTGATAACTAAAAGATCTGCCTCCCATTCTACTTTTAGAAATTCTAGGAACCACTAGTAAACCTGCAGATTGAGAGCGAAGTGCTCTGTTAGGAACATAAGGAACAATCAGATCTCTGATATAAGATGGAGCTTGGCCATTTAAGGCTTTATATGTGAGAAGGAGGATTTTAAATTCTATTCTTGATTTAACAGGAAGCCAATGAAGAGAAGCCAGGATAGGCGAGATATGATCTCTCTTTTTAATTTTCATTAGAACTCTGGCTGCAGCATTTTGGATCAGCTGAAGGCTTTTAACTACAGTTTGTGGACTTCCTGATAGTAAAGAATTACAATAGTCCAGCCTTGAAGTAACAAATGCATGGACTAGTTTCTCAGCATCACCCCTGGACAGGATATTTCTAATTTTTGCAATGTTCCTCAGATGAAAGAAGAAAATTCTAGAAACCTCTTTGATATGGGATTTAAATGACAGGTCCTGATCAAAAATAACACCAAGATTTTTTACTTTATTATCTGAAATCAGTTTAATCCCATCCAAATGAAGTGACTGGCTAA